TATACAATATTATTATTATTATTATTATTATTATTATTATTATTATTATTATTACTATTATTAATATTAATATTAATATTATTATTATTATTACTATTAACTATAAGAGATAATTATTATAGCAATATCAACTGATTAAAGTCCCGGTTTGTTTCTCCAATTATTTGTTAATTATCGATCACGTAGCTAATTCCAAGGATTATCCAATTTCCGGCTCCGATTCAAAGTCTCTCTCTCTCTCTCTCTCTCTCTCTCTATCTCTCTATCTCTCTATCTATCTATCTATCTATCTCTATTTCTCTCTCTGATTTTCATAAGAAAATTTTTCAAAGTATAATTAGTGGCAGCTCTTTGAATAAATCATTTTGTACATGGGCACATTTGGGAGACATATTTTCTGATTAGTACGAACGAAAATAAATGCAAACAAGCAAGCAAGCAAGCAAGCAAACAAGCAGTCAATCAATTCGCGTTCACCATATTCGGTACATATAAACATTATTATTATTATTATTATTATTATTATTATTATTATTATTATTATTATTATTGTTTTTTTTATTATTTGTATTATATCTCCGCGTACTCTCTCCTACGTACATTTTTGTTTCTTTTGATATTACTCCCCCTCCCCCCTGAACGAGTTTGTTCCAGCGAGAGGGGTCGGCAACGACGATTAACAAACAACAACCCCTTCATGCTGGGATTCCCATAAGGTAGAGTGAAACAGGGGATGTGGTGCTCGTTGCCGGCCTCCTCACCGTTTGGTAAAATAATAATACAATTCTATATAAATAAATAAATAAATAAATAAATAAAAATAATTTTGCACAAATGATATATAAATATATATAATAATAAAAAAAAAAAAGAAAGGATATATTTGAAGGAAAATGAAATAATAAGATGACGAAAGAAGATGAAAAATGAAAAAAAAAAAAAAAAGAATAAAGAATAAAAAAAAAAAGAGAAAAATGAAAGAAAAAAAAAAGAAATAAATAAAAAAACATATGATACATTAATGTCGGGATGATGATGCGTGTGGGTGACGAGGATACGGTGTTGTTGTGTACTAAGCTTTAAGAGAGAAGGTGGGATTAAGTGACGATGTTCGATGCGAGCGCCCCTTTAATGGCTGGTGGTTGGTTTTGGCAGCCCAGTGGAGCATGGAGCGGGGATGGGCATCCACGCGAGTATAATCCATCATGGTGTGGGAAGTAGCGCGGGGTCCGGGGTCGGGGCTGGAGGTGGTGGAGGGACGGTTGGGGCGACCACTGCCCCGCCAAACACCAACACTGCCTCCAATACCTCCTCACCTCAGCAAGAACCCACTTATGTTAATCTCTAGTCAAGCCTATCGCCTCCCTTCTACTGCAACACTTCTTCTTAAACAGTGGTCAGTCCCGACTTAAACCTAAGGGGCTCGCTTAATGCCCTCGCTAATGCCCCATTTTATTGCTCGTTGTCTCATTTTTCGCGGAATTCTTTGTTTTTTTTTTTTTTTGTATGTCATTCTCTCTAATTGTCTTTGTTTTTTTGTTTGCAACGACAAAATTCGAGCCAAAGAATCGAATGAGTGTGCCGAGTGTTTGTTTGTTGTTTGTTTGTTTGTTTGGTGTTGTGTGTCTGTGAGAGAGAGTGAGAGAGAGAGAGAGAAAAGATGACCGACCGAAGAAAGAAAGATAGAAAACAAAAAAATGACAAATGAAACAAGAAAATGCATATAAATAAAAATGTATGAAAAGAAAGGAAATAAAAATGATGAGCAACGAGCAGCCCCTGTGGCATAGTGAGCGGCCAAGCGACGCCCTGATGCTCGCATTGTTTCTCATTGTTGTGGCTCTTTACAGCTTATTATTGTTATTATTATTATTATTATTATTTGTTATCGTTTAGTTGAACTTTTTTAATCAGTGTTGCTCTTTAGCATGGATGGTCTGTAATACGTATATGCATATAATACATATTTATATATGTATAATAGGTTTTTCTTTTCGGTTTCGAAACGTTTTGCCATACATATATACATATATATATATATATATATTTATAATAATTATGTTTTATTTATTTTCTATTATTGTTATTAATTTTTTTTTTTTAATCATTTATTAATACATTATTATTATATACGTTATAGAGAGTTGTAAGTTTCGCATTTTTTGGCATGGCAGTTTAAACATACGATTACGACGATGGTGTTTTTACGGTTTTATATATATATATATATGTTTTTATTTTTAATTATTTTTTTTTTTTTTTTAAGTATCTCTAATCGTTTATCTTTGACATAACATATATACATATACATACATATATATACATATATATATATATATATATATATATATATATATGTATGTGTAATTTAGTGTGCGTAACAATTTCCTTTTTTAAAACAAGGATTAGGGAATATATATTTTTATATATTGAAAGACGGCGGCCACACACACACGTCACGGGTTTCTCGTGGATTTTGTAAAACAATTACCAAAAAAAAAAAGATAAGTTCATTCTCAAAGTTTCTTCCCGTTTTCTTGTTTTAATATCCTAATTAATTATCTTACGTTGATTGTGATTTTTAATTTTTGTCTAAAAATAAAAGAAAAATATATTTGTGCACGCGCGTGCCGTCATATAAAATTTCAATTTGTTTGAAGAATATTCTTTTACGTATCATTCATTAGCACCTTGCTTTAATCTCAATTCCTCGTCCAAAATAAAATAGAAAAAACAAAACGGAGTGATTTTTCAACGCGTGTCCCAACATTTTTTTTTTTTTTTTTGGCAAAGAGAACAAGAAAGCCAAATCAAATTTGTTTTTTGGTTATCTTTTTTTGTGCATAAAAAAAACCGACCGATTGAGATCGTTGGCGACGGTCTAGAACGAAAATTAATATCAAATCTTAATCAAAAAAAAATAAAATAAAATAAAATAAAAAAAATAAAAGTTCGAATTGTTCATTTAACTCAGCTGAGAGATGAAAAATAATGAGAGCCAATGGCCAGAGCGCGGTGTACGTCTCGACTGCGAAGCCCCCTGCGTGTTGGCTTCATTTTCAATTCCAAAATTTATTATTGCAGTAGTAAGCTCCGATGCGCCGCCTATTATTTATTATTCTCTTCTTTTCCTTTTATTTTCTATTTTTTTTTTTTCTATTTTTTTATTCCTTTGCCATTTTTTATTGTACGTCAATCGACGCAGAGCAGCAAGCAAAGCAAGCAAGCACAAGCAACGGGTCAAAATCAAACAGAACAACACAAACGTTAACTAAATTTCATTTCTTTTTTTCTCCGGCCTATCTATTCTATTATTTATCTATTCATCTATTTATCTATCTATCAGATTTTGATCTCTTCTTTTCTCTTTTTTTTTTTTCATTTTATTTACACCCTCAACACTTTTCTTTTTCTTTCCCCATTTTTTGATGTTTCATTAACCCCCCACACCCCCTCAGAGAACGCACGTCGATTAGAAATTTTTCCAAGTTCCACGTAACATACAACCCCCAACCCTCAAAAAAAAAAAATGAAACAAAAATATACAAAGAACATTAAACCAAAAAAAAAAAAAATCATCGAACTAATTTGGGTTTTGTTGAGATCGATCAAACGACGAGGGGAAACAAAATTAATCGTCGAATCTTTTTTTTTTTTTTTCATTTCTTTTCCCATAATATTGCTGTTTAATCGTTGTTAATATTAATTTTATTATGGTTGTTGATTGCTAATATTGCTATTAATGATTAATGATGATGTTTATGAGGAATATGACATGATAATGATAATGATGATGATGATGATGATAATTTTTGTTCCTCCTTGTTTTCTTTTATTGTTTACTCATTAAAAAAAATTTCTTTTTCTTTACCCCCCCCCCCCACGTAATTACGTATATATATGTATATATATATTTATTTATTACATACATATATACGTTAAATATCCACTTGTTGACACACGTTATGCTTGCTAAGTCTTAACTTTTTGAAGCATGGCATTTGCTACGAGTGAATCGTATCGAGCAAAGTAAACAAACGCGACGTTTGTACGAGCGCAGGACATCCGGTTTTTTCCATTGACAAGAAACCTTCTTAAAAAAAGAACAAAATAAGACGTGCTTTAATTAAGGATGCAAAAGGAAAGTATTTGAAAAAGGATATTCTTGCGCTCGTGCCTTCGTTGCTACAAACTACGAGTGATCGCATGTTAATTATAGTTGGTATATATTATTATTAGATTATATCTAATCTTTGACATCGACATTGTACCCTTTTCTCTTCTTATTGATCAACAATTATACATAAACATTTATTTTGATGATATTTTCAATAAATAATTCGATTGAAAATGGTACAACGTCGCAAAGATGAAAAAAATAAAAAAGAGATTGAGGTGGAGAAAAGAAAGAAAATTAAAAAAAGAAAGATTGAAAAAGACAGATCTCTTTTTGCAATGCAAAAGAAAACGAGAGTAAAAGAGAGAGAGAGAGAGAGAGAGAGAAAGAAAGAGATAGAAATGGGAAGATAAAAATGACAAAGTATTAATTAATTGAACTAATCCGATCACCCTTATTTCCAGACGTAAGAAGAAATGTGTCAGGTATATGGGGGAGGGAGGAGAAGGCGACGGCGAAGCCGATGGCGAAGGTGAGGACGATCATTCGGAGGATAATTTAGGGAGCGTGGGGGAGGCAGGTACACCCGAGGAAGACGAATCCTTGAGCAGTCCTGGAGGTTTGTCGGCATTGTCGAGTTTGGCCAGTCCATCTTTGGTGTTACCATCGCCATCGAGTCTTGCCAGCCCGTGTCCGCGCCCTTTGACACCTCCAGTAGTAGTGCCTCCTCCGCCATTACCCAACCCGAGTAGCCAACAGCAACAGCAGCAACAACAACAGCAGCAACAGCAGCAACAACAGCAGCAACAGCAGCAGCAGCAGCAACAACAACAGCAGCAGCAGCAGCAGCAACAGCAGCATCAGCAGCAACAACAACAGCAGCATCAGCAGCAGCAGCAGCAACAACAACAACAGGTTCAAGCACAGGGCCAACAGCAGCAGCAACAGCAGCAGCAACCGCATCGTAATCCAGTTGGTACGAATCCTCACGACATCAACAATCCGTTAAGTGTAAATCAACTTACCGGTCAGTGTATAAAAAGTGAAGTTGTACCAACCCCACCCTCGGGTCCCTCCAATCCAGCGATCAGCGTTACGTAGCCCCGGGTGGACCCACGTGACAAGACTGTTGCAACACACGGTGTCATCCAAGGGGTCCATCTACGTATCTACTGTGCGCGACAGAGAGGCTGGACGATGACGATGACGATGACGATGACGATGACTATGATGACGGTTCATTTGGAGAGACTTATTAGTTCGATCGATAATCTAACCATGTTAATGGACAAAATAATGGTTAAATGTTCGTTCATTGCTACTCCTACGACTGCTACTCCTACTCTTCCTCCTCTTCGTCGATCGATGACGTTCATCTTGGAAGAACGTAGACGACGTATCGAGAAACGATTGGAAAGAAAAAGAAGAAGAAAAGAAAAACTAAGAAGAATAAAGAGAAGAAGAAGAAAAAGAGAAACTAGGAAGGGTATCTCAATCGTCGTCCTCGTCATCGTTGACGCCATATTGAAGAAGAACTTTGTTCTCCTTCGAATTCGGTTCTTCGCCATTTTTTATTATCGTCGTCTCTTGTGTTGTTTCTAGCGAAATATACAAAAAAAAATTATTAAATAATAATACTAAATAAATAAATAAAGTAAATAAAATAAAATAAATAAAATAAAATAAAATAAAAAAAAACATATGATGAAAATACGGCGAGAACGGACGATAAATTGTATTCTCGAGATTTTTGAATCGAGGAAAGAAAAACAAGCAAATAAGCAAGCAAGCAAGCAAGCAAGCGTCGTCTTTGTTTAAACGAACGTTCTTCTGATTTAAAAAACACGCGCGTATAGGGGCGTGTATATATATACATTTATATATACACACTTATATAATATGCACGATATGTGGGACGAATGAGTACTACTACTTCCGAGGAGAGAGAGAGAGATTCTCGTTCGGTGGATTTATTGTCCAAAAAAGTGTGCCAGCAACTACAAAAAAAAAAGTGTATCTCTGTGTGGTCTGTGCGTTTGTTCTTTTTTTTTGTTTTTTTGCGCGCGCGTCTCTTCGCCAAAAACAACAACAACAACCAATCCAACCAACAATAGCAACAACAACAACACAAGCAACAAAAAGAGAACAAAATTATCGCGAGAAGAGAAGAAGAGGACGGAGCCATCCCTCGACCACCAACCCATCCCCGTCGTCGTCGTCGTCAACGATGTAACTCGCGTTTCGAACGATTCTACTTACATGATACGTGTATTTAATTACAATTGTGTATTAGTCGTTCCTCTCTCCTCCACCACCTCCTCCTCCTCCTCCTCCTCCTCTCGACTGTCTTCATTTACCGTGCCAAAGCGCTTCTCGGATCAAAAAGGGGTTTTTGACGATTATGCGTGTGATGACCGAGAGCGAACGATGATCCTATCGATCATCTAAAAAAAACAAAAACAAAACAGGAGATAAGCATATGTTGTGCTGCTCTTAAATCTAATCGTTACTTATCTTTTCATATTATTCTTCTTATTTGCTCGTTATCATCTTCATCACCACCTCCACCAATCACCACCATTATTATCATCATCGTCATTATCTGTAATTCTGCAATTCATCGGATTCATTATTTAGTTTTACGTTTAGTCATTTGTTCGTTTGTTTACCCATTAATAATAGTAGTAAGTAGTTAGTCCTCTTCCTCTTCTTCCTCTTCCTCAAACACGAGGCTCCGGACGATCAAAAAACAACACAGAAAAGCATCACGAACGAATGGATTATTATATTTAAACACTTTGTTGTATTATAACAGTATATTTAATATTATTATCTTTTGATCATTTTCTCTCGATTGTTATCAAACATCGAGAATTTAAGAACAAATTCTACGATAGATTAACACATTGCCAGCCGGCGACCTAAGAAACATTTAAAGCCTGAGCGCCGGCAACCTATTGGCCCACTTAATGGTATAACAAATGAAGATCGGTGTAACCATGGCAAGTAAATACAAATCGATGTGTAAGACACTCATACCAGCAAAAAAAATAAATCCACATCATCGTGGGGCAGCTACTCAAGCGACAGTCTCAGAAAGCAGCGTTTTCACGGGGCCCGGCGCTCAAATGACAGTCTCAGAAAGCAGCCTTTTCACGGGGCCCGACTGTCAATGTGTTAAGAATGAATGAATAAGAGATAAAGAAAATAATAAATAATTGCGTTTACTTATCAAAAATTTATATGAGGAATTATTATTAATTACAAACACTTGGTGCGATAAAGATGAATGAAAAAACAGGCTTAAAATTTTGCTTTTTTTTTATTTTTGTTCTTTAATTTAACGAAGGGAAAAAGTAGTATGCTGTAGAAAGAGAGAAGAAGTACTCAGGACCAATCATAGAAAATGAATAATGAAAATTAAAAATGAAAAAAAATATGAGATAGAGAAAGAGAGAGAGAGAGAGAGAGAACGAGAATGAGCGCCAACGAGGACACAAACAAACAAACAAACTGCAGCTCGTAGTCCTTGTTACGTTGTGATGCCAATGACTGTCAAAGTCATGTGTTCCTGTGCCAGCTATTATTAAAATAATTAATTAATATTCGTGAACAGCTGAAAATGAGAAGAGAGACAGAGAGTGAGAGAGAGAGAAGAATGAAAGAAAGAGAAAGAGAGGATTAGGATTGATACAAATTCACTCTCTTTCTCTTAGACATTTTTTTTTTAATTATAATTATTATTAACCAGTTAAGTGTGACGATCTCTGTGCACAGAGTGCGCGCTCTGGTGTGTGTCACGATAATCAAACGATGACGGTTATAGTCGTCAAACACAGAGTAAAGTGGCGTTGTTCAAATATTGGATTATCAAAAAGACAACTTTTTATTTTAGAAAAATGAACAATTTTGTTAGTTATGTATACACACACACAATTTCTTATTATACACAAAAAAAAACGGAAAAAATCGAATATTTAATACAAGTTAACAATTTATTCTTAACTCTTTTTGTTTGTTCACCTCTAAACATTTGAAACATATTCAAAATTAACGAATATAATTTAGTTTTACGCCAAAATTACAATTTAAATATCTAATTGTAATAAACTTTTAACGCATGACGGATATAGACGTCATAACACAAAATTTTGCCACATCTCCATGACGGATATAGTCGTTAAACACGCTTAACTGGTTAATTTGTTCATTCGAAACAACTACAACTACAACAACTACAACAACTATGTCAAAATAATCCTACCCCTTACCCCCACCCCCTACCCCCTTTCCCCTTCCTCTGTGTATGTAATTTGTTATTTCTTTAAAAGTCTATATTTCACGCAGCCCGATAAATAAATTAAATTTAGTAGCAGCTTATATAAGATTTGATCCCGTTCTTTTTATTATAATTTTGTTTGTTTTTGTTTGTTTGTTTTTTTTTTTTTTTTTTTTTTTTTATTTCTACTTTTCTTTTTTTTGCAGAATAAACAAAAAGATACTTCACAATCCCGTTAGGCACATCTGGTAATATGATTTTGAATTATCATCTTTATACGAAAAAAAAATAAAAGTATATTTTTTTTGTTTGGTTCACGATCATCATCATCAGCATCCATCTACAGAGAACGAACGTCCATTGAAAATATTTCATTTGTAAATGAAAAATTTGGCATTTTAAACAAAAAAACGAAAAAAAAAAGAACATTATTTTATCTGTTCGATTGATTATCTTTTTTCTTGTTTTCTCTATTACTATTATTATTATTATTATTATTATTAGTAGTATTATTATTAGACTATTATTATTATTATTACTATACTATGTATATACCTGTATATATATAGTGTATATGTAATAAGAGAAAAGAAAAGAAAAAAAAAAAAAAACAAGAGGGAAGAAGAAAAAAAAGAAAAGAAAAAAAAAGAAAAAACGCGTCGAAAGTAAATGTTGCCCCACACACGTCACACATGGATCTCCCATTGCATAATAAAATATTTAAAACGAACTTTACGTAGGACAAATATCTCAGGTAAAATCTCACGTATCCGATTTTTTGAAGCAAAGCAAAGCAAAGCAAAGCAAAGCAGAGAGCAGAGAACAAAGCAGAGCAGAGAGTAGAGCCCTCCCTCCCTCCTTCCCTCCCTCCCCCACGGTGCTTTTTACGCGTGAGTGATACTAATTTTTTGTTTGTTTGTTTGTTTTTTTTTTTAATTTGTTAATAAAAAAAAAAAAAAGTAAAAACAAACAAACATCCAAATTTTGGCAAGACGAAGATCAAACAAAATGCGAATATGCGACGACGAAAGAATATGCTATGCGTTTAAAAGTGCAATCACTAAGAGCTTCCAAAAATACAGGAAAAAAAAAAAAAAAAACAAAGGAAGAAGAAAAAAAACTCTGACCGAGAGGACGCGCGCAATTATTATTATTTTTTTTTTTTTTTTGGAAAATTTCACAAGTTAGTTTGTTTTATTTTATCCTTTGATTTTTGTGTGTTTTTTTTTTAAATCCTTCTTTTGTAGATACAAATTTTTTTGTTTTGTTTTCTTTTTTTTTATTATAATTGTGTGTAACACTGTATTTTGTATTTTTATTGTTTAAAGACGAAGCTTCTCCTTTTTTTTTTTGTTGTTGTTACAAATATTTTTACTCGTTCAATTTATCCTCTTCTACTCTCTCATTTTCCAATTCTTTCCCCACCCCCCCCCCCACTCATTTTTTCTATCCTCCATTTTTTATTTCTTTTTTTTTTGTATTTTGATTTTAAAACAAAATTCGTCATCTTTCGTGTATCGTAATTTTGGAAAAATGTGCATGCGCATTTTTATGTGTCAGAGAAAATATATATATAAAAAACAAATATTTTTTACCATCCATTTTTACATTAGAGCCAAGTTCATTTATTATTATTAATTATTATTACGATTAATTATTATCTTTACTATTATTATTATTATTATCATTTATTATTATTATTATTATCATTATTATTATTATCTATCTTTATTATAATATCATTATTATTATTATTATTATTAGTTAAAATATTTTTTGCGTACAGAACGTAAATAAACGACTGTAGTTGTATCAAAGATTTTTAAAGCGTACACTTTTATCGATCAAAATAATTATTACGTATTGTACGAAAGTTAAATAAATAAGTGTATGAACGTGTCCTGTAAACATGTGTCAGAGTGTGCGTGCGTGTACATGTGTATGAATAAGCATGTGGAAAAAAAGAAAGAAAGAAAGAAAGAAAGAAAAAATAGAAAAGAAAAGAAAAGAAAAGAAAAGAGAGAAGAAGAAGAAAGATAGTAGAAAGTTTTAAAACGTTAAGTTCTATAATTAATGTGTTGTCTATTTTTTCTTGTTTAATTTTTATTAATGCCCACTTTTTTCTTGACGCGCGTCGTTGATATATAAATGTTTTTATTGTTATGCGTATTGAAAAAGAATAGGAAATGAAATGAAATGAAAAGAAAAAGAAAAAGAGAAAAAAACAAACAAATTACGATATTATTAACCCTCTTTTGACTGCGGCGCGTTCTCGAACCAATCCATTAACCCTTTCGCTACAACGGGCGACTATAGTCGCTCTCCATGAAATGCCACTGACGTGTACTACGGGCGACTGAAGTTGCTCAACATAAAATGCCATTCACATACTACCGGGCGGGCGACTATAGTCGTTGCTATGCATAAAATGCCCCCTCGCATTGTACATTGTATAATACAAATGACGAACGATTAAGTTAATATGTTTAAATAATATCAATATTTTTATTTGTGAAGTTTTCTTTTTTTTTTTTTTTCAATAAACACCGTCAAACCAACCAACTCGGGTTGCCATGAAAGCATAAACGCAGCCGTTGTGTCAATTTTACCGAGCACTGTGCACATTTTTGGCGCGAATCGTACGTTCAGCGAAAATACTATGGCGGAGATAGTCGCCCGTAGCGAAAGGGTTAATATGAGCGACTGTTTTTCCGCTGACTACTGACCAAAACAGATGATAATGGCAGATAATATAAAAATATGAATTTAAAAAAATGTCTTTTTGAGTAG